TAACGTAACGTAACGTACGAGTAACGTAGTAACGTAACGAACGTAACGAACGTAACGTACGAACGTACGAGACGTACGTACGTAGACGACGTAGAGAAGAGAGAGAGAGAGAGAGAGAGAGAGAGAGAGAGAGAGAGTTGCAGATAAAGGGAAAGAGATAATTGCTCAGCCAGAAATACAGAGATATCCAACAAAGATAAGAGAGAGGGAGAGAGCTCAATAGGATCTTTAGCTTAGAGACATAGTTACAGAGAAACTGAAAGGGATAACTGCTAAGCCAGAGATATTAGAGATTATTAGACAGAGAGAGAGAGAGAGAAATAGGATCCTTATCTTCGAGAAAAAAATTTTCAGAGAAAGGGAAAGAGACACTTAGCCAGAAATACTGAGATTATTACATAGAGAAGAGAGAGAGCAATATGATCCTCAGCTCAGAGAGAGAGGGAGAGATGAAGTTACAGTCATTCAGGCAGATATACAAAAAGAAATACAGAGCAGAGAGAGAGAGAGACACTTAGCTTAGAGAGAGAAAGCAACACTTGATCAGAGAGAAAGTAACAGTTGACCAGCCAGACCTAGCTCAGAGTAAGAGAGATGAAGTTACAGTAAATCAGTCAGATATACATAAAGAAATATAGAGCAGAGAGAGACATAGCTTAGAGAGATAAAGCTACCCTAGATCAGCCAGACTTAAGCTTTTAGAGAGAGAGAGAGGAAGAAATACTTGCAGCCAGAAATTCATGAAGAAATGTAGAGAGAGAAAACCAGATTTCTTAGGAGAGAGAAAGAGGCTTTGCGCTTAGAGAGAGATGCGCATGCATTTGCCGAAAGGGGTTTTGAAAGCGTGAAACTCACTTCGAGGTGTAAGTTTTCGGGAAGGATAGCGTGAATAAGAAGCCAAAGGAGACACTTCTCGTAGGGGCATCTTCGAAAATCCTAGACGAGTGTCTTTAGTTTTTTACGCGTGTCTGTTCGCGAGATACACTACAAATGTAGTTTTTCCACGTGTCTGTGTCTGTTTACGAGATATACTGCATTTCTAGTTTTCTAGTATGCGCGCGCGCGCGTCCATAATATCTTTAGGGTTTTTGTCATGCTACCGTATTTGGTGGTGTATTCTTTTAAAGACGTCAATACTGTTGGACTATTAGATTACCCATATGCAGTACTTTTTTGTTTAGTGGAATTTTAAGTAATTAATCAAAAATAAAATAAATTTTTTAATAGAAATAAAAATATTTATTAACAATAATAGACGATATTATCAATATGGTGTGTGACATCGTCCTCATAATGTATTAATTGTTTTGTAATTATTTACTTTTTAAGAAGAGGTTTCATTTTTTTTTTCCAACCATCATCTCCAAAAGAAAAGAAAAGAAAAAAAAAAAAGGGTGATGCGGTTTTTATAGAGCCTAGGCTCTAAACAATCGAATTAGAGCCTACCTTCAAATAGTGTAGAGAAATGTGGTTTTAACACTGAAATTTTTTGTGAAAGCCTTAAAATATATTTTCATCTTTATTTAGAAAGTTTAAAGCTTCAAAATAGTGTAAATCGACGTATCTATGAAAACTTAAAAATTTTAAAAATTGACAATCCAAAAATGCATTACAAAATATACTATTTTCAAAACTTGAAATCTATTTTTTTCTCATATCCATGTATCTTGATGTCGAGATGATCAATTTGAGGATATTTGAGCATCAAAACAATCTCTTCTGATGAAATTTTTTATGTAGGATCTAATTTGATTGTTTAGAGCCTCGGCTTTATCTAAACTTTTTCCCTGTAAAAAAAAAAAGGGTATTTTAAGTTTTAAATAACGTATTTGATTCATTTAATTAGGATTTTTATATTAAGGATGCTATAAGCCTTAAGTTTTGTGAAAAGTAAAGCCTCGAGTTGAAATTTTGTCAGCAAAATACTTTTGGCATAGAAAATCTTTTAGATTGCTTTAAAATCTATTTTTTACCATCAATTATGGATTTTTAGCCGAGAAAATGGTATAGATCTTGTAGATATGTGAACGCTTTAAAATGGGCGGTCTAATGTGTTATAATATATACTATTTTAGAATTTAAATCTTTTTTTTTTTCTTCTATTTTTTACCATCAATTATGGATTTTTAGCCAAGAAAATGGTATAGATCTTGTAGATATGTGAACGCTTTAAAATGGGCGGTCTAGTGTGTTATAATATATACTATTTTAGAATTTAAATCTTTTTTTTTCTTTTCAGGCATAATATAAATGTCAAGATGATCGATTTGAAGGTTTTGAGACGCTAGAACTATAATATTTGGTGAGTTTTGAGGTGAAGCTCTACTTTTTTTCCATAAATCCTTGGCCTTATTTGAAGGGCTTCCATATTTTAATTAGAATTAAGATTTCTTTAGTTCTAAGTAAGACCTTTCATTTCTTTAATTCTAACTTCTAAGTAATACCTTTCATTACAAATAATGGTGGCAGGTATAGTTTCATAAAGATTTTAGTTACTATTTAGAACTGTTATTTTCTTGAATTCTTGTGAATTTTACACATTCATTGGAGCAAGGCTTGTTAGCTTTTTTTAAATTTCAAATCAATTTTATCAATATTTAACATCTTTTGAGTTTTTTTTTTCTTGCAGGAATCTATGCTAGTATAATAACTTGGAATCTATGCTAGTATAATAACTTGACAGCTTCGCAAAGAAGATTAGAATAAGCACTAGATCTTAAAGAAAGGAGATTCATGTTTACGCGTCTAAAGAAAGTCAAAAAAATAAACAACCCCTTCATGGTATTTTCTAAAAGAAAGAAATTTATAGGGCCAATATTAGGCTAGACCCCCTTAAAAGTAAAGGGAGCATTTTTTATTTGTACTTTGACATCTCATCTATGAGAAGAAGGGTGCCGATTGTATAGAGTCGAGGCTCTAAACAATCAAAGTAAAACACACAATTTGGAATGTGGCTTGAATATGGGAAATCTTTGTGATAGGCTTAAAATATATTTTTATTTTAAAAGCTTAAAAATGGTGTGGATCGAACAAATCTACAAAATTTTGAAAATTGATGGTCCAAAAATGTGTTATAAGAAACACAATTTTCAAAACTTGAAATCCATTTTTTTCTCATGTCTATGCATTTTAATGTCAAGATGATCAATTTGAGGATATTTGAGTATCAAAACAACATCTTCTAGTGAAATTTTTGAGTTGAACTCTAATTTGATTGTTTAGAGCCTCCGCTCTATGTAAAATTTTTCATGGTTTGTATAGAGCCGAGGCTCTAAACGATCAAATTAGAACCTACCTTCATATAGTACTGAAAAATATGGTTTCAATATTGTAAATCTTTGTTATAGCTTTAAAATATATTTTTATCTTTAATTATAAAATTTGAAGCTTTAAAATAGTCTATATTGAACAGATCTATGGAAACTTGAAAATCTTGAAAATTGACGGTCCAAAAATGTGTTACAAGATGCATTGTTTCCAACACTTGAAATCCATTTTTTTCTCATGTCCATTCATCTTGATGTAGAGATGATCAATTTGAGGATATTTTGGCATCAAAACAACCTCTTCTAGTGCAAATTTTGAGGTGGGCTCCAATTTGATTGTTTAGAGCCTCGGTTCTATATAAACTTTTCCCTCTCTCAAAATATAAATACATGGTTTGAAGCGCGAAAATCATCTATCTATTTTTCCAAAGTCATGAGATGGGGTATGGTTAAAATAGCAAATGGCATGTGCATGATGCTCCTACTGAGATATTAGATAAAAATGGTTTTTAAATATTTGATTACAAAAAGGAAAATATCATTTTAATTAATTACATTTTAAATCATTCAGTATTATTTTTATAGCTATTTAATTTTCTAACCTTTTCTCTATCTTTTTTTTTTTTTTGAGTTTTCAAGTTTCTAGTTTTCTAGCTCATATCTTTTTTTGTTTTTTAGTTTTCGAGTTCTCTCTATTCATCTATCTATCTTTTCCAATCACACGTACTCACCACAATTTATAATATAAATATTTTCCTTGTAAAATTTTGTAAAAATATAATTAGACCAAGATTTGTTTTAATTTCCACCATTGGGTTCATTCGATGAATTTTGAGTTGACATTTAAGTAAGTGCCTCATTGAAAGATCCACCTCCATATATCATACACGGATTTTAATTTTAATTAGCCAAGTTAACATATCATCATTTTAAGTCAGTAAAAATATCATTGTAATTAGATTTTTTATGTGGTCTTTTAATTAGTAAAATCTTTCATGGAAATTACAGTCTATGTTTTTTAAATGTTTAGTTGCTTTGGGTTAATATATCCATGCATATTTGAGAATTATTTTGTAAATATTTTTATTAGGTGCATCTATATTTTAAGAGTATACACTCAAACTTCTATATAATTTGGATTTGTAATAAAAAAAAATTAAATTAAAAAACAACATAATCTGATCGGCCTAGATTGAATCTGAGACATTAGATGTGTACTATTGCAACAGCCCTTAGGCAGACAAAATCTTTTTCCCACGGATATATAGCTAAGTATCTTAAAAGAGTTTTACAAGCATATTAAAACTCTGGGTTTATTCATGTCCTTTTTTTTTTTTGTAAGATCGGTGTTTTTATTGAATCGAACAAATTTAGGATTTGGTGAACTATTAGATAGACCGATTTAATCTGTTATGTTTCTGATAACAATATTAATTTCTACTATTTTCAAAATCAACACCATCAATGAGATCTTCAATTCTTGTCAAACTATATCTTCTCCCTCTTTCTTATTTACATCCAACACTAATACATCCTAAAATTGATTGTGGATTGGTTTTAAATGCATTCATTCATCACCAAAACAAT